TTGTTTATATTTTAACTCTTCCCTATCATGTTATTCTTAGACATTTTTCTAAGGTCAGCTAACAAAATAATTTGTAGTTCTTGGGAGTCTACACGCAGCTAACTTCCTGTTTGAGGCGAGGGGTCCTGAAAAGCCCCGCCCACAGACACATCTGCAAAAATCTGCGGTTTTCCAGCTGCCGTCACCAGTTGATCTGTCACACCGGCGTGGAAGCTGGGAGAGTCAAGCACTGTGCAGAGAGGTGAGCAATACTGATTTTCTATGGATCTGATTCAGAGGACTGCATCTTCACTGGACTTTTCTGCTGCATGCTGTGTTGCTGGGGACCGAGAGACTGGTGACGAGTGAACAACATCCTGCATCCATCATCCTTTATCAGCCGGGACCAAAGGACAGGTTCATTACCAGAAGGTTCCAAACTTTGAGGAGAGGTACTACACTGCAACTGTTCTACATCATATCAGGCCTGCAACGGGGGAATTTTGGTTTATTTTTAACTTTATGCCGGCTTAGGTGTGAGTTAGGAAGTGCGGGCCCACATATTTTAGTTTAAGTTGGACAATTGAAACTGAAACTTTATTACAGAGAGAAATTTATTTTAATTAAATTTTTTTGAAAACATCTCAATTGTTTATGTTTGTTTGTTTGTTTTGCTCAATATAATTTTAAAGTTCATAAACTGTTGTGAGTTGTTTGGTTATTTCAAATTATTGAATAAGAAATAAGCAGATTTAAGACTGGATTATAACCCTGATTCTGATTTCCTTAGGTTGTGTTTAAAGTTGTTACTGTCCTCAGAGGTGAGTCAAACTCAAGTCAAAATATAAAGAGTAAATAGAGTTTCAGGGGTTTTTTATGAACTCAGGGGCCCTTACCTACTTCAATGGGGTATAGGTGGGCTACAATTACATAGGAGCGGGTCTCGCAGCCATGGAGGCAGACATCTTTGCGCTACGGCAGAGCAGAGCCAACAAACTAGCGATTGCGAGATCGCCCATTACGCTCGAAAGTAACTACGGCAAGTTGAGAGAGATGAACTGAGA